GGCTCAGACCACCCTGCATATCAGATATTTACATGACGATTCATCACAGTAGCAACATGACAGTGATGAAGTAGCAACGAAAATAATTTTATGGTTGGGGGTCACCACAACATGAGGGACTGTATTGAAAGGGCCAGAAGGCTGAGAACCACTAACCAGGGGGTGTCCTCCCCTCTCTGTCCCTCCTGCACACGCCCAGTGCCTCCGCCCGCCCAGGGCCCCGGGCCGGACGCAGCTCTGCTACCTCCCCTGCCCCCCACGACGGCCACTTTAGGGCCAGGATCCAGGGACCTCGAGGGCACGTGCTCCTGACTCCGCCCAATGCTGGCTGCAGGGGGAGAGGCTGGCGAAGGCCGGAGCGAGCCCGCGGCGTCGGGGGCCTCACAGGCTGGAGCCCGGTCAGTGTCCTGTTGACCAGCCTCATCCTCCCAGCCGCCTGCCTGCCAGGGCCACGCGCTCCCTTCAGTGTGGGACCCGCCTCTTCAAACCCTCCCCGTGGTCGCTGCGATGTCGGGGGTCATGTCGCAGCGTCCACCCTGCCGTGAGACGGACTCAGTTCCGCCGGGAGGTGTCCGTGGGGAACATCTCCGTAGCAACCAGAGGCTTTCTTCCCGGCTGGAGTGGCTCAGTGGTGACCTGTGAACCATGAGGTCAGGGTTTGATTCCCAGTCAGGGCACCTGCCCAGTGTGGGGTGTGCAGGAGGCAGCTGATCCATGATTCCCTCTCATCATGGATGTTTCTCTCTCTCTCCAGGATTCTCTCTCATCATGGTGTCTCTTTCTCTCTCTCTCCCTCTCCCTTCCTCTCTGAAATCAATAAAAGAAAGTATTAAAAAAGTTTTGACTGACCCTTGCCCAGGCCTCGGCCCGGTGGGTGCGCACAGAGCCACACCCGCCACTCGTCTCCACCACGTGACCAGCCACGTAAGGTTTTGCGGGTGGGTTGGCCGGACGCGCAGCGAGGACCACAGGCGGGAGGAGGCGAGGGGTCTGGGAGGGACGTGACCCTGGGGGAGGCCTCTGGGAGCTTCCGGATGGGAAGGAGCCGGGCTGGAGACATCCCCCCTGACCCTCTGGACCCCTGACCCCCTGACCACCTCCACCTCCTCAGGGAGCAGTGAGCTCAGTCCCCAGGTCTGATTGGTCCCTGTTTCTTCCTGAGCGTCGGAGCCTGAGCTGCTGACGGGGTGCTGTGGAGGCCGGAGCCGCCCCTCCACCCAGCCCCTTGGGGATGCAGTCTGGCCCTACAGCCTGGCCACCTCAGCCCTGGTGACCTGGTCATTTCCGAATGTGTTTCAGTGGACGTGGCCATGTGACCGGCTCCATCAGGTTGCCCTCATGAAACCTCACATCCCCACTGCGTTCCCAGCCCCACGGACCCCTGCAGGGAGCAAGGGGGGCTCTGACCTCGACCCAGTGCAGGGACGCGTGTGCCTGGAGAGGTAGCCAGCAGGCCCGGGGGGTGGGGGGTGGGCTTTGCTTAGCATCTACCAGGGCCCTTGGAGTGAAGGAAAGAGAAATCCCCGAGGGCTTCCTGGAGGAGTCTGACTTCAAAAAGAATGTGCTAAGTCCCTGATGCGATGAGGTGTGGACATCATGCCTCCCACGGGGACCCATGTCTGGGGCCTGGTCACTCCTTAGCAAGGGACGTGTGCTTCTGTCACCCCACAAACCGCAGCTCAGTGGGCCGAGATGCCCGCGGGCTGGGAGGTCCGGGGGGCTGCTTCACTCGGTCCTAAGGCTGGACCTCACTCACAGGCTGCTGATAACACCTCCTTGTGGGGGGGCATGGCTTGCCTTCCTCTGTGAGGTGTCTCCCCAGGTGGGGGTACCCCGGGGGCTCCGAGCCCCGCCCCCAGCCCTCTGACGCAGGCTGAGCACAATGGTTGCCTTGGTTACATTGTTACACATGTGACGCCATCCCTGAGAAAGCCTCAGCGCCTGGGCCCCTGGAGGGGAGCGGGCCTGCAGGTGGAGGGAGGGCTCTCGGGGACCCGCCGTCGGCTCGCCTGTCGGGGAGACGCCCCGAGGACCGCGGAACCCCGGGCCCTTGCAGCTTCCGGAAGAGCCTCTGGTGTCACAGCGTGGCCCACGAGGGTTCCGCCTGGGTCGGATGCGGCTGAGGCGGGGGATGCGCCATGTTTAACCCACACGTGTTAGACTCCCCGGCCGTGATCGTGGACAATGGGTCCGGGCTCTGCAAGGCGGGCCTGTCGGGCGAGATCGGGCCCCGCCACATCGTCAGCTCCGTCGTGGGGCGCCCCAAGTTCCAGGCGGCCTCGGCGGGGGCCAGCCAGAAGCAGACCTTCGTGGGGGAGGAGGCCCTGCACCGGAAGGAGGCCCTGTTCCTCCGCTGGCCCGTCGAGCGCGGCCTGATCGTCGGCTGGGACGACATGGAGGAGCTGTGGCGGCACCTGTTCGAGTGGGAGCTGGGGGTGCGGGCCGGCGAGCGGCCGGTGCTCATGACCGAGCCCTCGCTGAACCCCAGGGAGGCCCGGGAGAAGATGGCCGCCGTGATGTTCGAGACGTTCCAGGTGCCCGCCTTCTACCTGTCGGACCAGGCCGTGCTGGCCCTGTACGCCTCGGCCTGCGTCACGGGCCTGGTGGTGGACAGCGGGGACGGGGTCACCTGCACCGTCCCCATCTTCGAGGGCTACTCCCTGCCCCACGCGGTCAGCAAGCTGTACGTGGCGGGGAGGGACATCACCGAGCACCTCACGCGGCTGCTGCAGGCGGACGGGCGCGCCTTCCCCTGCGCGCTGCCCCGGGCCCTGGTGCCGGACATCAAGGAGAAGCTGTGCTACGTCGCCCGGGAGCCCGAGCAGGAGCTGTCTCGGCGGGCGGAGGAGGTGCTGCGGGAGTACAAGCTGCCGGACGGGAACATCGTCCACATCGGGGACCAGCTGTTCCAGGCGCCCGAGGCCCTGTTCGCGCCCGAGCAGCTGGGCGTCCAGAACCCGGGCCTCTCCCGGATGGTCGTCTGCAGCATCGGCAAGTGCGACGCCGACATCCAGGGCGCCCTCTACGGGGAGATCGTGCTGTCGGGGGCAGCACCCTGTTCCAGGGGCTGGACGACCGGCTCCTGAAGGAGCTGGAGCAGCTGGCCGCCAAGGGGACCCCCATCAAGATCACCGCGCCCCCGGACAGGTGGTTCTCCACGTGGATCGGCGCCTCCATCGTCACCTCCCTGAGCAGCTTCAAGCAGATGTGGGTCACCGCCGCCGACTTCCAGGAGTTCGGGACGTCGGTGGTCCAGAGGAGGTGCTTCTGAGGGGCCCCGCGCACGGGGCGGCCCCCGGGGGGGGGGGGCGAGCTCGCCCCTTGACATCGGCACGGTGTTCAATAAAAGACGAGATGGTGCAGTCATTGGCCGCGTCCGTTCATTCTGGCGGCACCGGCATCATTTCTGACCCCGGGGGCGAATCTCGTTCCAGTGGTCTGCCCCCCGACCCCCTCCTTCTCCGGGGAGAGCCCTGGGGTATGAGTGGAGGCTGTGTCCATCGGCAGAATTTGGACCAAACTCGGGGGGTCTGGACCTCATGCCAGAAGCTCGTGTCGGAAGGGCCCTGGCGTCTGCATCTAAAACAGGTGGCTTAGGGGGGCCCGAGGGTCCGGGAGGGGGTGTGGCGGGAACAGGCAGGGATGCTTGCTGCCCGATCCTGAGGTCCACAAACCCTCGCCCAGGTTGGTGCTGAGCACAGTAGGGCTCTCACGCTGCTTTTATGGGGCCGGGCAGCTGAGCAGGAGGGACCCCTTCATCTGGGCACATGGGGACGGGCAGAAGCAGAAACCGCCACCTGTTCAGGACTCTCTCAGGGCCCGCTCCCGGGAGCGTGTGAGGTTCCGCTTCTCTGCTTTGTTTATTGTAGTCTTCCTGTTTGTTGTTCTATTCAAGTGTGTTTTGGGCAGTGTTTGGGGGCAAAATACTGGAGGCAGAGTTAACGGCCATGAATGAAGTAACAGTTGAATAAACATGACGGGGAAAATCCATGTCATATTTGAAGTGGAAGTGAGCATGTGCTGTATTGGAAGGCAGAAGTTAGGTGGGTCATTTTCAAATTCATGGTACCAATCCCTGTCTTTTTACTCAGTGTCTTTAGACAGGTTACGTTTAAAGTAATGGGTTCTGTCTTAAGCCTACCATTTTATTTTCTGTTTGTTTTTCCCCCTCTGTTTTTTGTTCCCATTCCTCTCTTTTCTTTTCTTTTTTTTTGTTAGTCCTCACCAGAGGATATTTTCCCCTTGATTGTTAGAGAGAGTGGAAGGGAGGAGGAGAGACACACAGAGAGAAACATTGATGTGAGAGAGAGGGGGCCGGGGATTGAGCCCATAAGCGAAGTATATGCCCCCGACCGGAATTGAACCTGGGACCCTTCAGTCTGAGGGTCGACACTCCATGCACTGAGCCAAATCGGCCAGGGCCCTATTCCTCTTGCCTTACTTTCCCATGGGTTACTTAAACATTTTAAAGAATTCTATGTTGCTTTATCTGTGGGTTTTTGTATGATTTCTTAATGATGGTCCTCGTTAATGTTATGACCCACTGGGACCAACATTTCACCACTTGAAGTGAAGCGTAGGAGCCTGACTTCCACGTAAGTCCCTTTACCTTCCCAACTTTTAAAAAATATATATATATTATTGATTTTTTCACAGAGAGGAAGGGAGAGGGAGAGAGAGAAACATCGATGAGAGAGAAACATTGATCAGCTGCCTCCTGCACACCCCCTACTGGGGATGTGTCCACAACCAAGATACATGCCCTTGACCGGAATCGAACCTGGGACCCTTCAGTCCACAGGCCGATGCTCCATCCACTGAGCCAAACCGGTTAGGGCCCTTCCCAACTTTTGAAACAAAACTGTCGTCCATATTTCTTCTGTGTACGTGAGGCACAGCCTCAGATGGGGTACCCCTCTTCCCCCCAACCCCATGTTCTTTCGCTCTTCCCGAAGTCCCATGCCCTCCCCTGTTCTGCTTTAGCTGTGCTATAGCAACAGGTTGCTAAGCAACAGGGTTTCCGTGTTTCTGTCCCCTGGGCATGTCCCTATTTCCCCTTCATGACCAAGGATGTCCCGGCTGGAAGTGAACTCGATGGCTAACTGTGTTCTGGCGGCACTTGGGGCACGTTGTGCCGGGCCCTTCTCCGTGGCTCCCGTGGTTGCAGGTCCGCAGCACCTGCTATTCGACAGGCGACCCCCTGCAGGTAGCGCGTCACTCCCCTCAGGCTCCGTTCGCGAGTGTCTCATTGTCTTCAGAAGCTCCACGATGTGTCGCGGCGTGATGCTTTTGGTTTGCCCTCTTTGGGGTCCATCCAGCCTCTCGAATCTGTAGATTTATGTCTTTTGACGAATGTGGGAAGTTTTATGCTATAGTTTCTTCTAACACTTTTTCGGCCCCACTTTTTTCTCTTCTGGGTCTCGGAAGACACGAAAGTCAGCCGCCTCGTCATCGTCCCGCAGGCCCCGGGGACTCCGCCCGTCATTTGTCAGCCCATTGTCCCTGTGGTCCAGGTTGGGCGAGTCTGTCCGCCTGTCCTGAGCTTCACGGAGTCTGTCCTCCGTCCCCTCGCTCTACTCTTGAGCCCCTCCAGCCCATTTTCATTGCCGTTGTGTTTTCCGTGTGATCACTTCCGTCTGGCGCTCGCGTTATAACTGAATTCCTTGCCGAGATGTTCATTGTGCGCGTGTTTCAGGGCACGTGCGCTCGCTTGCTGACACGGTTTTGCGGCGGCTGCCTTACAGCCTCACCCGATCGTGCCGGCGTCCGAGCAGCTCGGCCCCTCCACACTCACGTCTGGGTTGCCTGCTCTCCTTTAGTTCAGCGTTTCTGTGCTTTGATGGTGCCCGGACGTTTTGAACGTCTCAAGGCCCCTGTTTAGCTATGTCTGCAGCAGGCGTCCTCCCGTCCAGGTGCAGCACGAGGGCGGGTGGAAGGGCGCGCAGTTTCCCATGGGCCCCGCGGGAACCACCCCAGAAATCGGGGTGCTGAAGCCACGGCCTCGCGGCAGGGAGTGTGGGGGGTTCAGCTCCTTGCTTGGCTCCAGGGAACCTTCTGGAGAACGCGGTACTGACTCACCGCACCCCTTCTAGTAGGGGGGATGCTCATCGCCCCAGCAGGCCCAGCTGACACCTGGGAAGGGGAGGGGGGGTGTCGACTAGCCCGCGTGCCCCCACCTCCTTCCATCTGCTAATGCTGGGCGGGGCTGAAGGCTCAGCCCCTCCCCCCCCCCGCGACTCACCGACAGCAGGGGAGGGTGAGGAGTGTTGGCTCACACCCCTTGTTCAGGCTCATTGCTGCCAGGAGGGCTCACATCACCCCCAAACCCCATAAACGCCACCCCAGCAT